TGAAGCAGTCGTTGAGGGTCGACGATCGAAGAGGATTGCCAAAAGTGTGCCGTCAGACGGGAGCGCAGCAGAGCAGAGTGTAAGTTATTGTTGTTTTCAATCATGATTGTTGGGTTTGCGGGAAAATAATGAGGAATCATCATTCTTCGCCATTTTTTTCAAAGGTTTCATGGCAGGCATTTTTTTATTTCCCTCTTCTATCGCTGCAAGTGCCCCTTCTCGCACTTAACAAACACTGCATATTTTAGCTTCGCAGTACTGTGTTACCATGCTAAACACCCATTATGAGCATTTATCTCTGTGTCCAGCTACGGAAATATTAGTCCGTTTCCATTTCGATTGCCGAAAGGTGGATTTGAACTCCTGTTCTCAGTAATCCATAGCGGCATTAGCCGATATCTTAGGATCGACTGACCCATATTTAACTGCTCTCGCGTGGAACCCTTCTCCACTTCAGTTTTCAAGGATTTCACTTGAATATTTGCTACTTGCACCAAGTTGCGCACCAGTGGACGCCAATGACTGGTCCATATTTTAATTGATTATTTATTCCTAACTGTAGAACACCTCACCATGAACCAAACGCCAAATCTGTACCGATTTTTCATCTCGACACATACAAAAGCTACGGGGCTGAAATTTTGAGAACTTAATCTGCATGCATGTATGGACCACCATCCCCAAAACGGGCGCTCTTACCCGCGTGGTACCCACGTATGAGCCCGCCAAAGTTTTTTACGAAGTTATCGCGTTTTTTGAGGGATTTTTTCAGGCTATTTTTAGTTTTTCGTTGTTTTTTTTTAGGATGAGCCACCGGAAAAAGACTTGAATAGATCATGCTCATATCGTCTTTTTTACGGCACCAATGCATGGTGTGTCTTTATCGAGCTTCATCATTTGTTATGCTCACGTCTGGCAACATTCAAGAAGAAACATCAGGAACTCATTGCAAATCATGAGGTAAACGGGTTTTTTTCACTAGCGTTTTTTTTTTATAAGTTGACTTATCGTTTTATTATTGCGCAACGTTAATCTAATCGATGGCCTTTTCATAGTTGCTGTGATCGAAGTTGTAGCAACTCGTAGACAGAGCTTTTTTTTGCAGGCAAGTGTGAACTGGGAAGGGATCGAACCACTCGTCTTCACAGCCAGATGCCATGTACTAGGGGCCATTGCACTAGAGGCCTTTTGTGCTCCCAACTAAACAGCTGAGGGATTTTTGCAAGGCGCCCATACACATTACATTTACACATAAGCGGATCCAGGACGGGTTCTTGGGGAGATGATGGGGAGAGGGAGAGGGAGGGGGAAGAGGACAGAGGAGGGAGAACCGAGAGGAGGGGACAAAGGGAGTGGGAAGGTGCTTCCCCTCCTGAAACTATGCAAAAACTAGGAATGGAGTTGTAACGCACTGCTACTTGGAGTTACTACCCCCTTACTACCCACTGCTACTTAGGGTTACTGGCCCTGATTACTACCCCCTTCCTTTCCTCCACAGAGCCTTTGAGGCCCGTACTGCCTTTTACTTACTTTAGGCTTTAGTTTTAGCTTTAGACCCGGCCTTTTGCAATACTGGCGCATGTGGCGCTAGGGTGTGCGCAAAAGATCCTTAGCCCTCCCCCCCCCCCCCCCTCTCTGGATCCGCCCATGTATCTGCATCCTTTGCGCAGTCTCTTCAACATTTACCTGTTTTTCGTGAGATTTCCGTGATAATGGGCAGCATTCCTGTTATTGCTGTGGTGAAGATTGCACCGCCTGACGCTTAGCATTCTGCATTTTTTTGCTTTCCTTTTTTTGCATTCATTCAAAGCGGGCTAAGTGGTGCTATCTCTTTGCTTTTGTAATTCAAAACAATGAAAACTGGGAAATTTTTCCATTTAATCATAGTCTCCATCGATGTTTTGGTTCAGAAACGTAACATCAGCTTCTGGTGGTTTTTTTCCCCAGAAATGCGACTAACGGAAGTTACGGAGCTTTGAATTCTTCTAGCTGCTTTTGTCCTAAAATTCTGAAATCACAGCATTTTGGAGAACGAAATTTTATACTCCTCTGAAAGGAAAAGATTTTTTTTTTGAAGGTGGAAGAACGCTTACACTTGAAGCGCCAGGAAATCATAGAACGCGCGTATGCAGAGAGAGGAACGGATTTGACGAAATCTACAGGAAGGAATTTCTCGCAGCATCTGAATCCGGATATTTCTAGCCCCAAAAACTACTACACTTGCTTGATCAAAGCGCTAAAACAACGTCTGGATGGCACCGTTGACAATGATGCTTTCGAGGAGATCGTTAGGTGAGAGATTGTTTTGTTGGGCGGATTTTTGTTTTAAAAATTTTGAAATGGGAACTGCTTTTTACGCTCTTGAAGATCATCTGAGGCGAGATTTTTATCGCTTTAAATTTTAGTCCGAAATTTCTGAAGTATTCCAATGGAAAGTTTTAATAACAAGGAATGAAATAAGTAAGGAATTAAAAAAGAAAGCAAGAAATGAGGATTAGAAAATTAGAAAATTTTGTGAAATTATTATAATTGTAAGAAATGTTTCGATCCATTAAGTCATATGTTTTCATAAATGTAAGAATTTTAAAACACGAACTGCTTTTTACGTTCTTGAAGGTCATCTGAGGCGAAATTTTTATCGCTTTAAATTTTATTCCAAAATTTTTGAAATATTTCAATAGAAAATTATAATAGTAAGGAATAAAATAAACAGAGGAGCCAAAAAAAGAAGATAAGAGAAATGAGGGTTGGAAAATTAGAAGTTTGTGGAATTATCATCAATGGTAAGAAGTGTTTCGGTCCATTAAGTCATATATTTTTATAAGTGTAACGTTCTTCATAAGTGTAACGTTCGGGCAGAGGCGGAATAATTACAAGCGGCAGGAGCCCCAAGCATACCTCCAAATTATGCGAAACCAACAGTTACAATAACAATTTCATTTTCAATCATCAGATTAAATATCACGGAGGGGGGAACTCGAGGCAGGAGACGGAACATTTGCATATTACAGGAAACCGAAGGGCAACTAGACAAGGCGAAGGGGGTTGAGCCTCCAATTTCGCTTCCTTGTTACTCGCTCCTTCTTCCTTTTGCAACATAAGTCATATATACATTTCATACCATTACCACAACTGGACCTTGTGAGTATGATGATTGTAGGAAATTGAGATCAATTTAGTTATGCAATGCATGTTACTAGTGAAAAAGTTTTACAGAAGATGCGTAGTAATAATATGTTGGGAAAAGTAACAAGTGACCTAACAAACGTCTAAATGAATCGTTATTTCTATTCAAGGGCATTATTCGGAGCCAGTGCTTATCTCTCATTTACAATGGATGCAATTATTATGGTTATTATACGACAGCTGCAACATTTGGTATGTGAAGAAACGAATAAAACATGCATGGATTTATACCAAAAATACCGCTTTGTACGGCCAACTGGTATATATACGAGC